AACTCTATAAACATCTAAAATCTCCCCTTATCTGTTTCTCACAAAAAGAAAAAAATGCCTTAAATATCAAGCTGTGCTTAATCATTTGTTTGCCATGTAAGATTACATTTGACTGCTGCATGGTTGTCTCATTTTTTATGTAGCTCTAATGCAAAACAGTGTCAGAACAGCAGGTTTTTGTGCTTTCACACAAATGAAGGATTTTATGAATCTCAAATAAGCTATTCGTTAGAATTGTCAATTTTTTATAAATAAAAAATGGGGAACGGGTCATTTAGTTTGGCTTGGAACCAAAAACTGTGAATCAGCTTTTAAACTTCAGCATCATTAGCCAACAGAAGGTGTCAACTTTATCAATACGGCATGTAAATAAACAACAGACACATTGTGTCAAACAGACCACCATTATGTCGCCACCCTGGCAGAATTGTTCCCTGGCTGAAGAACCATTTTTTGGGTCATTAAACTAGCAGAAAAAAAAAGGTCTTTAATTTCTACTTAACTCAAAAGCTTAATGGTTGAAGCCAGAGGACCGTTTCACAAAGCAGGTTTACTGAAACTCTAAGTTGTCTAAACATGGAAACAGAGAAACTCTGACTTTTCCGGTTTAAAAAGAAATTTTCCTCAACCACAGTTAAAGTCACCGTAGTAACATTCTCCCCAGAGCTAAACTGGATGGGAGCAGGTTTCCTTCAGAAAGCTCGGAGTGTCATCTGTCTCCACTCAACTGGAAATAAATAATAAAACAGCCAATCACGCTGTTTTATTTCCTGATTTAGCCAGACTTTTGTCAAAGTTTTGTGCATAAAAATAAATAAATATATATATATTTAAAAACAAACATTGCATGTCTATTTGAGAAGGATCTTCTTAAAGAAGGATTATTATTTTTTCACAGAGAATTAAATATTCATTGGGAGAGGATTCTACAACTCATTTGACAGGGCATGAGATTACTTGTTTTTGGTTTGTTTAAATGCGCGAGATGCAGATCATTTTATTTTTGTTATATTTACAGTACATTAAGAACTACAGAAATTATTTTTAGATTACATGAAAATAGATAGATTCCGCAGGGAAAAGGGATTACTTTAAGGTTAGGATTAGGATTGAATGGATGATAACAACCTAATGAGCCTACTGGCACAATCTGAAAGGATTCTATGGGCCTGGTAGCCACAAATGACATCCATTTATTGGGATGATAACATCTGATGAGGGATTCTGAGCATTATTTTGGGATGATGAGATGATGCAAGTGTTCTATTAGAACAACATTTTTAGACTTCATTTTCACATGCTGCCGAAAGATTTCATCTATATAGATACACTGATCTACTACCATTCAAAAACACTTCCTTAAACTTATTGCAATCACAACAGGTTATGGCAAGCCGTTTTGATATATTCTAGATTTACTTAATATGTATTCCTGATATTCCTGATTTTTTCTTTGTCTAAATGAACATTTCAATCAAAATGTAATTCTCTATATCTAGAATGAACATTCTGAATGTCTATAAATGTCTAGTTTGTTAAACCTGCTTTATGAAACGTATCCCCGGACATACAGTATTTAGGTGTTTAGGGTTGTCAAAAATATTGTTTCACCAAAAAGTGTAAAAACTCAAACACTGTTACACAGCACAACAATAATTTCGTAAGGAAGCAATACAGTAGCAGCCTTTCAAAATGGCCCTTCCCAGTGAAACACCAGCCGAATGGCAGCCCACTTCCCTGCAACTCCTAGCAGAATCCCCCTCCAACTTCCAGCCACTGGAGTGACCCCATCCTTCTCCTGGGCATGCAGATTTTTTACTCTGACTACACCCTTTCATGGAATAACAGGGTCTGAACAGGTGACAATGCTTCTCTTTAGATCTTAATGTCCACAAACCATGACAGAAAGAATATTTTGGTAAAAAAGATTGATGTATAAAAAGGAATTGTAGGGGACCAACCAAGGGCCGATCAAGGAAAGTGGGGAAATTTTGAATGGCTACTACTGTACTAAAGGCAAGTTTTGTTTGCCATTTTTAATCTTGGATCTCTGTATTATTTTAATGTTAAAAGAACCATACAAATGACCTAATATATTGTCAAACTGTGGTTAAATGGGTTGTTTCACATTTATTTGCACACCAATTTAACGTATTTATTCTGTTGATAAAACATGTCCCATGTTGAGATAAAAAACATTTGTAAAAATACTCTTTATGTCTAATCATTTGTGTGTCCTCATGGTATACAACATTAGTTTTAAGCATTTAATATTTCCATTTGTAATCATTTTGAGTTCTAATTTTGTTTTTGTTTTGTTTTGTGGTGGGGCTACCACAACATACTGATCCAAGACCCATCCGAACAGAGAGAGATCAGATAAATAGAGAGACAGAGGTAGAATATATTAAATTAGCCTATATAAGATTCTGGAATGTTCCTCTCAAATTCCTGAGAACAACTTTTTATAAAATTCTAAATTCTTACGAGTGCTCAATAGTAAACCAACCAATTCAGGAAGAGCGACCAACTATTCGGCCTGCATTAATCCAAACACCCTTGATTGTGAGAAAAAAGTTTGCAGCTGGAGTGTAATTTATTTGATTAAATAACAGTGGGAGTGTATGTGTATCTTGAGTTTTTTTGTCTAATTCTAAATTAGCAAAAATAAAATAAATTTCAAAATAAATTAAACTTGTGCATTATCTGTAGTTCTTTATTTTCATGTTGTACTATGTCAGCTTGAAAAAAAAATCAAGGGTTCAAATAAAGCTTAAAATTGGCCATTTCTGCTGATGAGTAGCCAATACTTCTATTGAAAGCATCTCTCCAACATCATTACCTTTACTTTTTGCATATTTTTTTTATATCAGTGCACGTGTTGAATTCTGAAATAAAGAAACACTCTTGTTGAAAGGCCTCTATGGTTCAGGATGGAGTCCTGCCTTAATGATGCCTGACCAAACATTATAAAGCCCGCCTGACTTTACATCCTGACTTCTCTTCTCTTGACTCATTTTCGTCTTTGGTGTTGATTAAAAATCTCAGAGCTACAGGGGGAACAGAAAAACCTTATGGAATACTAAATTAAAGAATAATTCCATTTAAATGTTCCTAGGAAGAAGAACCTGCAAACATAAAAGCTAAAAACATTATTTTCAGAGAATAAAATGGTTCTCACATACCAGGATCTGATTTGGAGAACGTGTCCACATCCAGCAGAGCCCTGGAAACAAACAGGAAGAAAAGCAGGATTAGAATTAGTAAATCTAACCTCCTTCACTGATTTCTGACAATTGATTCATTAACATCTCCAGAAATCTATTTGGATCTTCCTTCCGGATTTTCTTTTTTGAGTATTTCCAAAAAAAACCTAAGTCAAGCTCCCAGAGTCAGGTCATGAGCAGATTTAATTATTTCCAAAAATGACTCTTTGAAACCGAGCATCAAAAAGAATATGTAATGTGTTTCTATGAAATGACTGCAGTATATAACAAAAATAAACCGTCGCTAACATCAAGGCTCAATAATACATTCAGGGAGGAGGTGATGAAATGTGCTTTGCTCTTCAACACAAAGCAAGTCAGCAGAGTTAACTGTAACTGTACCAAACCCAACAAGAATAAAAAGAACCAGAACACAAGTTAAGTGACTCTACTAAATTTCACAATTTGGTCACATTTCAACTAACGAAGATCCATCCATCCATCTTCTCCTTCTTAGTCCTGTCAGGGTTACAGTGGGGGGGGGGGGGGGGAGAAAACTACTGTAGTAGTTTTAGTCCATGAGGCAGACACCCTGTCTACTGTTAAGGGTAGGTTTAAAACATTCCTTTTTGACAAAGCTTATCGTTACAGTAGTTGAGGATGTCCTGAGCTATCTCTATAGTTAAGTTGCTATAGGCTTAGACTGCTGGACGACATAGGGACCACTTTTCTTTATTCACTGATTTTGTAGTATTTTTTAGTTCAATCTCTAATGCTGTGCTTGCTCTTTATTTCCTCATCATAGTAGCTTCATCGGGTCTGCTCCAGTTTGGCTGTGACACCATCATGGAGATAAATATCACCTGTTCTGCTGCCATCAACATCTTTGATGATAGATGTTGGAGCTTGACATGTTTTTTCAGTGTAGTCCTGTTTCTCTGAATGTGACTAACTGGATGTGCTCTCTTCATCCTCTGATGTGGGAGCTGGCTCGGAGCTTATCTGTCTGGCTGTGTGTTTTCTGGGCGGGGCCACCTGTGGAGCTGATTGATGGTTACCTCTCTGCTTCTTTTTCTATGTCTGCTTCTGTGTCTTTGAACCCCAGTCAGCCTCCGCAGATGGCTGCTCACTGGTTCAGCTGGTGGTTTCTTCCTGTTAAAAGGGAGTTTTCCTCTCCACTGTCACTATAAGCATGCTTAGTGTGAGCGATTGCTTTTCTGTCAATGAGTTGATGCAGTCAGGTCCTTTTTCTTAGAAAGAAAACTTTGAATCAATCTGACTTTATGATCTGGGTGAATTGTCTCTGTAAAGTGCCTTGAGATGACATGTGTTGTGAATTAGCACTCTATAAATAATCTGAATTGAATTATAAGGTTCTAAAAAAAAATTAAATCACATCAAAATTTAAAGACACAACTGGTTAATTTTATTCAAAAAAGAGGAAAAGCTGTATTGTGTATAAAAAAAAAAACAGCAGGTTGGAAAGACATCAGCAATGATCTTAGAGAAGGAGCATTGCTTTACTGCAGCGGTCACCAACCTTTTTACAGTTGAGGGCTAATTCAGGGGTGCTGAGTCACAGGAAGGGCTACCAATACTGAACTATGATTTGCAAGGGTCAACATTCACCTAAACTTCATACATCCTACACATTTCTTTATCGTTTCTTTAAATTCATAATTTTCTTTTAGAAATTTTCATTTTGAAATCTCTATAAATGCTTAAATGCCATATATGATTAAATGATGAAATGTTCTATAACCCGATTAAAAAAAGAAGAGCAACAGAATACAGTGAAATTTCAAACGTAGCTCACTGTTGAGTTGTTCTATTTTATTATATACATAATGGAAGTATGGTATGCACCTTGGATTCAGCTCTGCAACTGTCAAGATTACTGTTTGCTATTTTTGGTCATTTAAACAAAGATCTGATCCATTCCAAAGAATTCAACAGCAGCTCTCTCATTTTAACACTTCTTAGTTGATGGAGCAGCTGCTCCTGCATGATTTTCAGCGTGAATTCATACCTGCTGCAGAAAGCAGATTCTAGTGAGGGAAGACATTCACTGTGACTCAAAGCAACTAATTGCTGTGATATCAGCAACTTGCTGTAAAACAGCTAAAGTAAGTTTATCCCATCTCATTGTTGGTCCTTCATTTGTTGCAAATACAAAACAGGAGCTTCATTGATCACTTTAAATGTCTAACTTTAATTTAAATACAGTCACCGGGTGGACATCAAGGACTCAGTATGGACAGACGAACGGACAGACAGGTGGAAAGGAGGAGCTAAAACACAAGGCAAATCTGTAATTACAGGTGTTTTCTTCCCTATCATCATGAAATAAGGATTGTTGGTGAAACAACCAAATCATGGATATAAGCAGGTGAAACAATTTTCCTTGCAGGAAGTCTGACTTGGCATTAGAGGTAAGATGAGGAGCTTTTTCGCTCAGTACCGAGCCATGGAAAAGGACTTAATTGATGTGGTTTGGTTATCTGAACAGGATGCCTTCCTGAAAGCTCTCAAAATGAGTTGGATGATGTTAGCTTTTATTCCTGTATTCCACGTGGTCAAAACCCAGTGTTGAATAGGTTGAAGATGAAGAATAGATAAACAGACGGATTTGACAGCATCGTGCTTCATGTAAGCCACACAAAACATATCAACACAAACATTTTAATCAAACTGTTAAGCATGGCAGCAACTGGGTAATGCTATGATCTTATTTTCAAAATAGAAAATGTTGTCCTACTTTCAGTCACTGAATCCAGAACTATTCTGAAGCATTTGAAAACCATGTCACTGCATCAGAGATGACTGTCTGAAATTAAAACATTTTTCATAAAGAAAGTAGAGTAAAGTAGACAAGTCATTGTCAGATATAATCTAAAATAAAATTCATTTAACAATACTGATTCTGAAATTCACACCAGTAACAAGATGTCTGGCTGGACCATGTTCTCTGACTCTGCTGTCGCCATAAGATCTGCAATTCCTGTCGCAACCGCAATCCCTAAACCTAGCGTTAGACACAGGAAGTAGGGGATGCTGTCAAGCTGAAGATGTAGTCCTAATGAACATGGAAGGTTTGTTGGACACCTGAGGCAGCAAGCAGATATCATGTGGCTAACTGTCCTGCTGCCCGGCTGATCACAGAGACAAAAACTCGGGTCTGGGAGAAGTTTGGAGAGACCATGGAGAAAGACGATCGGTTGGTCTCAAAGCAATTCTGGAAAATGGGAAAGCGCCTCCCTTGGGAAGACTTTGCTAACACTATTTTTTGAGGGAGTGGGGAACTGACCAGAAAATACATTTTTTTTTACCAGTCCAACAAATTTTTCCTGCCAGAAAAAAAAAAGATAATAATTTGCTCTCAGGCATTTACTGGGCTTGTGTTCACGGATGCTCTCATAGATTGTAGGCAAGCGAGAAATTAATCATGTCTGTCAGTCTCTTGTGAAACAGTCTTCCCGAAAGCGGCATTTTTCAATAAACATTTCCTTTGCCCCGGGGGGCAGTAGATTCCCCCTGCTCATTGGCATGTTGTCTTTTAGAAGGCTTGGTTGCTCCAACTATATACCACCACAGTTAGCCTAGCGGCAGAGTTGTTGTTAACAACGGGGTGTTGGGGGTGTGGTCTCTATACGCGTGTCTGTCTATTGGTGTCTGAGGAACAGACAGCAGAGGAACAAACAGAGGGAGGGGAGGCTTAACAAAATCAAAGACTAAAGGAGGTTACTGAATGCAACTGTGGTCCAAAAACTTCCATGCCTTTTGGCGAATGATGCTCTGGCATTAAATCACCAAATGGAAAATGTAGTGACATTTGGCAAGAAGTGGTGAGGGTTAATTTTGGACCCTGCTGCTGACCTTGAATGACGTCATCAGCTGATGATGGAAGGAATATTTCTAGGATCTCCTCAACCCGGCTAAAGACGACACAGGGTGCCCTGGGACAGGTGTCACTGAGGTGGTCAAAAACTCTACAGTGGCGTAGCTTTGATGGCGGATGAGATCCATCTTAAGTAATTTAGGCTTTCAGTATACTGTATCATGGTTGACTCACCTCTTTATATAGCACTAAAATAACCCAAACCAAACAAGCAAGGGCATGTCTTAATACTGTAAATCTTTAGGACTCGCTTATTCAAAGTTAAGACTTCCACTGGATTGAAGTGCTGGTCAGAAACCCCCCAATTTTCCTGGATTAAAGAAATTCTACAATTTCCACTACTTAGATGTAAAATAGTCCACTAAAAAAAAATTATGCAACCGCTTTTGGCCTTTACTTAATCATATTTAGTAACTTTAACACAACTGTTTTATGTCCTACCCTGCTAACATAAACCAATTATGTTAAAGTAACTAAATATGATTAAGTAAATGTGAAAAATGTTTGCATTACTTTTTTTTTGTGTATGACAAACATTTGAAGGCAGCTGCAACACCAAAACTGACAGAATTAATTACTGAATTTAGGCAATTTTTTTCTCACAGTAACCATGGTCAGCTCATAGCTTTCTTTATTAAAGTTATTAAAGTTTGTTTTTTTTTTTCTTATCTTTATTTGATATAAAAATTAGTTTGATGGTCGAAAAAAACATTTACTGTAAGTCAGATAAAGAAACTAAAAGAAGAAATGTGCAGTAGATAATAAATACTTATTATGACTCTATGTATGTAACTCCTGATCGGCAAACATTTGCTTTTTTGTGTTTAAAAGGCCACACCTTCATCTGGCCACAGCCAGGAATTTTTCAAACACAGAGTAAAGAATACTCTGGGATTAAACACAGAAAACCTAATCATGAATGTTCTTTTATTCAGAGCTCAGTTGAGGCTCCCCAGGTTGGGGCTGTCTAACTCGGGTGTCTGGCCATTTCAAATCTCACAGATCTCATGAGGCTCACCACAGGAGCAAAAGCTATTCATAATTCAGGAGCCAACTGAGAAGAGACAGAGCACTCTATTGGACAAGCAGGCAGGCTGGCAGGAAATAAAAAACCAAAAAAAAAACATGCTGAGTTTTACTGATCGGTCAGTCTGTCACTTTGCCTTCAAACCCTTTAACTCAAGCAGCCAATCAAAGGGTAGACAAGTGTTCATATCTTAGAGAATCCAAAATTGGTGCTAATTAATTGTTCACTAAATACACTGACATGCTGTGGAAAGCTGTGGGAATCCACACAGCTGCCAGATTCCAAGCACTGAGACAAAGAAACTAAAAAAAACATTTTTTTTTTTAAAATGTCTGACTTTAACGTAAATAAAATATGCAGCTGGAAATCACACAGGGAATACTAGATAGATAGATAGATAGATAGATAGATAGATAGATAGATAGATAGATAGATAGATAGATAGATAGATAGATAGATAGATAGATAAGGTAAGTGCAGACTCCTATAATAATAATAATAGTGAATTTGTTCATACCTGCAGGAAACTGTAACTTCTATTTTAGTTGCAGGGACTCTGGTGTTCAGAGGGTCGAAATCCCCTATTGAAGCCATCATCTCGCCTCGCGACGCTAATGATCATCCGAAAAAGCGCCTTGATATCTGTAAGAATGGAAAGATGTGATGGTTCAGCACTTGGATCGTGATCGCAGTAAATCCATGGCTGGGATCTGCCTCTGGGTTTTCACCTGCGGAGCAGCGGAGGAGGGAAGGGAGGAGATGAAGGTGCGGGGGTGGGGGAGCCCGACAGGAGGAGAGAGGCTGAAAGTTAGGAGGCAGATTTAAAGTTCACCAGCTCTGCCGTCATGTGCGGCCACGCTGAGCTCCCGGGGTCTGTCCCGGCGCTGGCTGGAAAGGAGCAGAGCGCCCCCCACTGGCGGAATTTAGCAGCGACAGCAGGTGAACCTCGTTTATTTTACACCTTTAAGCGCCTTTCTAACGCTTTTATTGTCGGTTTAGTAGCAAACCTCCTGTCGTCTGAATGCTTGTCTGTTTGCTCAAAGACTCCTGACCTTTTCCATCTCCCCCCTCTCAGTCTGTCATCCTCTAATGAGGGATTTCCCTTCTGAGTCGAAATCTAATGAGCTGTTCATTTCTGCAGCAGTCTGCAAATCCTGTTTATGAAACGCTCGGTTTTTTATTATACATTTTTGCGCAAGCAACATTTTGATCAGATGTGACTTATTAATCATTTTTAATTCATTTTATTAATTTAAATGTATTTATTTTGGGGCAATCCAGGAGATTCCTAAGTAGTCAAATGAGATTTGGTATGCTTAACACGTGAAGAATTTAAAATTTTCTGTGTAAGACTTTAGATTTTAATGTTATCGAGTAAAAGTGCAGGTGAAATGGGAGCATCACATTATTTTGTATTTTAATATCTAATAGTTCCCATAACTCAGTATGAAATTTAGCTGGGCATCAGATTTACAGCAGGAAAAAGGACTCTCCAAATAGATATGCTTACAGGTATTTTCAAAGATATATTCTAGGTAATTGTTTATCTAACACTAGATTTACATCATAAAACTGGAATTTGAAAGATGTTCAGTCATTAAACCCTATAATAAAATCTCTCACTAAAATAAAAATGATTGTGGAGTACTTTTGTGATTGTTCTTGTAAGTGACCAATTATTTTAGTGAAAGTTTTAGTCTGTGTAACAAATAACTGAAACAAAGAAAAAAAATATTTACAGCTATTTTTCATTTTGAGTAGGCCTACACAGATTCAGATCTGGTGATGTATTGCCTATGAGTTTATATCATATTTCTGTTTTGGTTTCTAAGGTTTAAAGAAAAACTACAGCAAATTTTCCAAGTTCAATGTATTTAAGAGGACTTAATTTACTCCCTGGTGTCAATGGTTTTGGTTCTGTTTAGGTTTTATCTTTGAGTTTTCATTGGGTTTATTTCCATTTTGTGTTATTCCAGTTATTTTTGATTGTACGTATATGAGTTCTTAGGTATTTCTTGGTTGCCCTCTGTTGCCCTCTTGTGTCACTCTCCTTTTCCCTCGCTCCTTTCTAGACTCCTCTGTTCATACCTGCTCCTAATCTGGTGATGAGCCTGGTTGAGGATACCTGGGTGGTTAAAAGCTGGGCTAAAGTCCTAAAATGGATCCCTGGGTTGTTTTGGGGATGCATGAAGAAGTGTAAAATCAAGTTGACTGCATACTCTACCAACCTATTTGCCTGAAAAGTAGACTGCAGGGGGTCCAGCAGGGGATCTGTGATGACCTTCAGATGCTTCGACACAACACTCAAAGGATTTCATGACCACACATGTCAGGGGGACAGGTCTGTTGTAATTTAACCCCATGATGGAGCATATTTTATTTGCAGAGGATTGTTTTTATTGCAGTCCTACTAGAGATGCAAATCTGCCTTTCTTAGGTCTTTGTGAACTAGACATACACATAATCATATCTCTTAGTGAATGAGAGTAGTTCAGGTCATGCAATTTGTTGTATTTTTTAATCTCCTTTCTATTAAATATTTTTGGATTTGAATGAATGTCTTATGTCTTGTTTCTAACTGATTATTTCCTAAACTACTGCCCTATTGGTCCCCTAATCCTTTGCTGTCTTTAGTATAAGCCTTTTGAGGTTTTAGTTGGTAATTTACTTTAACAAAACAATCTATTCTCTCATTTTCTCCTTTTACATCTATTATTTGGTGGATTTTCTTGAAGTAGGAAGCTCAGTGTTTCATACACTGATCATCCACAGTTTTGAGTATTTTTACCTCCCACTTAGTTCAGTAGAAATGGTTTTACTTTAACAAACTTACTTGGTGTTTTAAGAAATTACAAGTACTCAAAAAATAGTAAATTCAAGAGCACTGAAGTTTTTTTCAAAAATTTATTTTAAAACTTGACAGAGGGTTGATCTCAACTAAAAACATAAACTAGAGAGAACTTTATGGTCATTTTGTATTTACAGAGTGTATACAAAACAAATTTACTTTAGTACAGCTTTCAGACAGCAAATTAACAATATCCATTCCATAAAGGGCAGCAGTGATCAAATGTAAACGGTGTGGGACAAAAAAAAGAAAAACAAAACATGGTGCAAAAAACCCATTCATATGGAAGTTCAGAGCATTATTTTATGGTGCAAATATGCAGTATTTTTGGATTGGTGTAATCAGTGTGTTGCAGAGTTTGACATGATTTAGAGTTTTTTTCAGCAGACTGATGGCAGTGGGGAAGAAACTGTTGCAGAATCTGCTGGACCTGTATCGAACGCTGCAAAGCCTGATCTGCCCTGATAGCTAACCTTCCATTCACCTGCCGTCCCCGCCCCACCCTCTAATTATCATTCGTCTTATTTGCCTGTTCCCACTGCTCTATATAAGGCTTAGCACAGCTATTGGGGCCAGATCATTGTTTAATTTTTGTCCTTTTCCTTTTTAATGTCTCTCTCTTCTGTTTCGTTATTTTTAGTTAGTTCAAGGTTAATTTCCCCTTTCCAATTAGATTATTCTCGAGCCAGCATCTTCAGGCGAGTTTATTCACTAGTGTTGGGGTTTTGATTCTATTCAAGTTTTATCTCTGAGTTTTCGTTGGTCTTATTTCCATTCTTGTGTCCTAGTTATTTTTTATTGTATTTTAGTTCTTAGATATTTCTTGTGTGCCCTCTTGTGCCAGTCTCCCTTTCCTTAGCTCCCTTCTTGCCTCTGTTCACACCTGCTCCCAATCTGCTAATTAGCCTTGTCTTATTTTCTCTATCCTATTTATTCTCCTCCTGTTCAGTCACTCTGGGCTCATTTGTCTTTTTTTTTTTGTCCCCTTCTTGTAAGAATTCCTCATTCTTAGTTTTTGCGGATTTATGTTTTAGATTTTTGCTTCTGTTGAACTTTTTGGTTAATTAAATATTCAAGAAACCACTTCAGCTTTTTGTGTCTGCATTTGGGTCCTGTCAAACCTCCTCCCCCACTTAACAACCAACCAGTGATGAGAGCATTACAGCACTCCCTTAATTGCTTCTGATTACCTGATTCTGTTCCCTCTCAACAACCGAGCCTGTCTTCCCCGTCTGATCTGTCTGCCCAAACTATCTTTGGACTCCTGTTGGATTCTGCCTGTCTGCATCTGTGCATTTCTGTCTGAGCTGGTTGATGCTTGGAACTCTGAACCTGCCTTCATGCCCAGTGGATTCCTGGAACCCTGGATCTATCACTTCCTGTGTAGATTGGAAACCCCGATCGGGCTGAGGACTCCTGGATTTCAGAACTGTTCCTGCCTGATCTGTGTCCCTTACCGGGATCAGAACCCTGCCTGCTCACTGGGGTTGCTGCATCGGGGGACACTGATGGGCGGCTTTCCACCGCAGCTCGTTTGGTAGTCCATCAGCTGGATTCTGCCTTCCTCTGAGGGGATGAACTGTTAAACCAGGTAAGTGACTCACTCGAGTAAAAATCTCAGATGATCGTGGTCACTTACCTGTGTTTCTCCCTCCAAAGTGTCAGTAATGGGGTAGAGCTCTGCCCCCATCTTGCAGCCGACGCGGTCCCCGAACCCCAGCTCTGCACTTCTGTCTGTTTTACTGTTAATAAACATTTTAAACTTTCCCACTGCCTGCTTCATCTTGAATACTGGGTCCATCTGTCCTGTGTCTTGACAGCCACAGGGAGAACAGTACATGGTGGGGGTGTGAGGGGTCAATGATGATGTTGTGGGCTCGGAACACGCAGCACTGGGATGAAATGTCTCTATGTCTCATCATCAGCAGGAAGTACAAGCGCTTTTGTGCCCTTTTGACTAGTGAGGTGTTGTTTACAGTCTAAGTGAGGTTGTTTGTGATGTGCATCCCCAGTAATTTGGTTGTGCTTACCACCACTACAGCTGAGCTGTTGATGAACACTGGAGTGTCGTTAGGCCAGTTGTTCCTGAAGTCAACCATGAGCCACTTCATCTTCTCCCCATTCAGGACCACCACCATGTTGTCGGCTGCAAACTTCATGATGTGATTGGTGGTGAACCTGGGGACGCAGTTGTATGTCATTAGAGTGAACAGTAGGGGGCTCAGGACACAGCCCTGAGGGGAGCCGGTGCTTAGGGTGTTGACATCAGAGGTGTTCTGTCCAACCCAGACTGACTGAGGTCTCTTTGTGAGGAAGTCTAGCAGCCAATTGCAGAGGGGTGTATTGAAGCCCCACTGTTTAGGTTTGCCTATCAGACACTGTGGGATGATGGTGTTGAAGGTTGAACTGAAGTCCAGGAACAGCATCCGCGTGTAAGTGTTCTTCTCTTCCAGGTGTGCTAGGCTCAGGTGGAGAGCAGAGGAGATGGCATCCTCAGTGGAGGGGTTTCGTCAGTAGGCAAACTGGAACGGGTCAAATATTGGGAAGACTGCAGACAATGTGTTGTTAAACCAGCCGTTCGAAGCACTTCACAATGATGGGAGTCAGTGCGATAGGCCAGTAGTCATTGAATGAAGTGACCTGAGGTTTCTTTGGGACTGGAATGATGGTGGCAGACGTAGAGCATGCTGGCACTATGGATTGGTCCAGCAAGGTGTTAAAAATGTCTGTTCTCAGTACGAATCCCTCTTTTCTGTGAAAGCCCTAAACGTTTGCTAACAGTAGTGAACACAGAGCATGTGAAGACCAGGGAAGTCAGCAAACAAGTCAGA